TAAGATCATCATAACTCGTACTTTTGAACGCGCCCTAGGCTACACCCGAAAAACTCGAAATTTGATATGTCGATCCATAAACTCCCATTTGCTTTGTAAAACTGGTGTTAAATTATAGTACCATCTTGGAAGTTGAATTACTGGTGTTTAATGCAAAGTGGCTGACTCAAGCCTGCAAAATCCGATGGCGCTAGTCAAAAGATCTTCTAAAATTCATGGCGGACTAGAAAAAGGGAAAAAAAGATGCACTGTGTCATAAGGTTTGCTCTATTGGATCGTTACTTGGACTTGAGGGTGTTATAAAAAATTAGAAAAATTCTGAAACTTGACCATCTCAAAAGATTTCCGAGAGCTTACTGACTGTGTTGCGACGATTTCATGGTCGTTAGAAGGCGTGTGAAATGCTGCATCTAATGTTACCAAGACTTAAAAGTTTTTATTCCGCGAAATCTGTCGTTCATTCAAAATAAGCGACATCACTTTCGGAACGACCTTATATCTCGCCGGAAGCTGCTATAAAGAGCTTAATCGTGCTTTCATATAGAATTACTTTCAGAGAAATCCATCAATATACGAAGAAGTTGTGTTTTTTTAGAGTGCGGCGCAAGAACTTTTGGAACAATCCAGTAGTTTAGCGGTATGCCAACCATAGCTGCGATAGGGGGAGTGATGGATCTTACCCCCTTCACTTTGAGACCAAACTCCCGATGACCCCCTTCACCTGGGCTGAGATTGGTATTGTACTCTGAGAATATAAAATAAAAATCGTTATTAAAAGGTTTTGCAGGCTAACTACTTCAAATAACAAGTACACTCATAAATTTATATCAAGAGGATTCGAGGATTAAGAGGATTTATATTAAGAGGATTCGACCTAGACCATTACTTTCTTTCTAGTCCCCCTCCCGAGAGATATACCGCATTTTATCCGAAAAAAGGTCCATTAACAGCAGATTTCTGCCAAGCGAAGACCTAATCACTGCTGATTATCTATCTGTATGATAGAGCAAGTCTTCATTAACAAACGTAGACCGTCGACTTTCTCGTAGCATTCATTTTAAGAGCAGAAAGTGAGGGCACAAAATCAGCTAATTTTTGAAGCACATAAAATCCCTCATATCTCGCGTCACAGAAGACCTGGAAAAAAGGCAAGGGTCTACGTCGATTCTCCATGATCTCAGCTTAATGGTATACAGCATGTTAGGGCTTCTTTGCTTCCCGGCTCTAAAAATCATTTGCTTCGGTGACCCATAAAAGCCATCACATTGTATAGGTCCTCCCGAAAGTTTTTGCGTACGATTTTCAAAAATTCATAACTTCTGATTTTTCCGACTGATTTGACTGCTTTCACTTTTTTGTGAAAGGGTAAGTCATGCTCTTTATAATGCCATCTCGGCTGCTTAGTAATGGTCATCTGTTGCATAGATAGAAGCTCAAAACCAAAATCACTCAAAATTTGAATTTTTGTGTAGGGTCATAAAAAATCAGAAACTTGCAACAAAAATCGGAGCAGTCGGTATTGTAGGTTCTTTCACCAGCTCTTTCTAACAATGCAAAGTTTGCTCCGATTGAGCGTCTCCATGAAAAGTTATGATTTCCGAGCAAGCAATACAAAAAGGCGAATTTGATTTTTTTTGGCACTTTTCAGGGAAATCATAACTTTTCATGGAGACGCTCAATCTTCGCAAACTTTGCACTGTTAGAAAGTGCTGGTGAAAGAACCTACAGTACTGACTGCTTCGATTTTTGTTGCAATTCTTCGACTGCTTATGACCCTACACAAAAAATTAAATTTTTTACCATTTTTTCTATCGCTCCTATCTATGCAACAGATGACCATTACTAAGCAGCTGAGATGTCATTGTAAAGAGCATGACTTACCCTTTCACAGAAAAATGAAAGCAGTCAAATCGGTTAGAAAAATCAGAAGTTATGAGTTTTGAACTTCATGCGCAAAAACTTTCTGGACGACCTGATAAGAGCGAGGTGGAGCAAGTCAATAGTAAAAAATGTGCTGTGGATTGACATCGTTATCAGCACTAACGGGAACGTGAGCGAACGCGCCTATTCGAGCGTGCTTATCGTTGTTATATATTTATGTTTTTTTGGTAAAATAACGCGCTTTTGATTGACAGTTATGCCATCATTATTAGCACACACTCAAAAAACTATGGGAGATTGGTGAATTTCCACACCTTCACACAAAAACCCGCCCATTTCTGGAATCTATACTCTGTAAACCTAGTGCTGAAGAAGGTTACTTTCGTGAAAACGCTCTAGACTCACCTTACCTAATTTGTAGAGAATGGTTGGTTTCAATGAATCAAAAACTCTGAGACATTCAGAAGAATAACATGTTATTAAAATATCCCTCAATGTTTTGGAAAGGTTGGCAGTTTGAAGAGGAAACGGCAGGCAGAATACTTTACAAAATCGCAGATGACTCGCATGTGTTCCAGTTCAACAGCGAGGCAGAAGGAGAACCTTAAGCCGACGAAAATGTTGTCGACATTGATACAGAGTTGACAACTGAGCGAAACTCTCTGATTTCCTGCATAAGGAATCCAAGCGGATTGTCTAGTTTCGATGAAGAAACGTCCAGGAAGTCCATTGCTGATCTTCAGGTTGCTGAAGAATTCAAGGCTGCTAAATTCACAAACATGGATATGAACAAAAGGAAGGTGTTAGTACAAGTATAGTTACTGCACTTAGATCCCGGCTGGAATGCGAACCCAACTCTGTGCTTTATGCTGATGGAAGTATCTCGCCTTGTGACATTATGACCTATGATATTGAAAAAAAAACAACGCGAAGTATAGTACCTCCTTTTTTCGGCTATTCCGCAGATGCTGTTAAAGAAGAAGTTGAGCAGCTTTCTAATCAACTAACAGGACGTATGCCAGAGGAGGTGAAGCCAGAGTTCGGCAAGGCCCAAAAAAGTATGCACTATTTCTTCCCGTGTTGCGAAACATATGCGATCTGGCTCTTTTCATTACTTACCGCAAAAATCTGATGGACTTACTAGCAAAGCTAATTTCCATTCCGACTAGCACGGCAGAGGTGGAGAAAGAAATTTTCTATCTACTCTTTTATCAGAACACAACGCAGAAGTCGTACAACGATAGAGCATCTAAGCAAATACTTAAGATTTGTCAACCTTCTACTAAACACATTGTTATCTAAAAACTTCATTTAAAGGATTGGTATAAAAGGTCCAGACAGGCTGTTACCGTATGACTTTTTGAAATATCCTAAAAGATGGTATGAAGAAACTGGTCACCTACCTGCTGACTTCCTGGTGCTACCAGAGGGCCAGGAAAAAAATCACAAAAGCGCTTAGAAGAAGAAGAAAGTTTCAAATCTATTTTCGACTCAGAACGGTTTTGCACGCAATTCTACTTCTACTCCGATAACCTTTTGGAGGAAGAAGAAGATTTTTCAGACAGCGAACTTGTTGTCTCTGACGTTAGCGATAGTGATATTGTTGATGATGATGTGCAGGAAATGAAGTTGTTCCTAACCTGTACATCTTTTGGGATAAACCTTATTGCTTTCGTTTTTTGTTGATGTAGTGAAACAAGAGCACAGATCTTCATAATTTTTTTTAAATTTTTAATTCCTTTTGAAAATTTTTAATTTTTTTTCAATTTGTGCCTAAATAAGGTACAAATTAGAGCTCTTCATACCACGCTTTTTTACCTTTTCTCTCTTCCTCCCCCCCCCCCCCCTAGACTCACATACCCCCTTCACCCTGGAAGGTCGGGAACAGCCGAGACCCCCTTCACCTGGGGAGAGCCCGGCTCCCCCTATCGCACCTATGATGCCAACTAAACTTATTACTCTGAACGGTAACGGATGACGTTGGTACCAGGAATACCAGTTCAACTACCAGGAATATATCCATTCCAAAAGAAGTTGTGTCGCGCGCAGTTTGCGTGATTCGCGTGGATTCCGTGGAATTCCCGAAATGTCGCGGAACTCGGAATATCGCTGACAACATTCACAAAAATTTTTGCGCATTCTGAGAGTGGGGACTTGTTAGTTTTGCGTGTAATTATCAAAGTACACATCACGGCAAGCCTTTTTTAATTTATCGCACCATCATGTTGCTAGATACATGTAGAACAACGCCTTATTCTTGGCCGAAAATTAAACTTAAACTTCAATAAGAAATAAGGAATAAATCTTTTACCCAAGCAGTTGGTTCAACGAATGCCTTTGCTATAGATATTGACATATCTTCGATATCAGGGCTCGGCACGAGCTGGCACCAGGAAAATTTCAAAACGAAGTCCCGCTTAATCCTGAAAATTTCACACGAAGTCGCCGTTGACCTGTTTTGAACTCGTCATTATTTTTATATCAAGTAAAAGTATATAGTAAGGTTTTCATGAATGCTAATTTCATGGAACAACTTTTCGCAGCTTTCTGAGCTTTTTAAGTAGTTGAATCACACCTTGAAAAGCAAAAAAGCCGATTATTCAACCGTGGAAAGGACCGAGTAAATTTCAGATGGCTATAAACGCTGAAGAGAAAACACTATGAAATGGTTTTTTTCTAAATGTAGACTTTTACACTGTAGATACATTTTATGTAAAAAAGTATGAAAACTTATGTGAGCAAAATGTGGGTGCCAGCTCAGCTGGCACCCAACTGGCATGGTGCCACCTGATTCATAAAAAAGTTCAGCACAGTTTTCATACACATAAGTTTCATAAATTTTTGCGCCATAGTTCGGGTTCCCCATCGCGCATGCACACACTAAATTTGATGCCATACTATTGCGTTTTGGCTGGAAACAACGCCTTGTTTGTTTAATGGACAGCATGCCGGTGGCATTCTTGCGGCTCTTCTCCGCCCGGGACCCCGGAAAACGATATTCCTTTGCTTTCCGCCCTAAAAACGATATCCAGCTTGACCCGGTGCCAGCTGTGCCGAGCCCTGTTCGACATTCGTCTGTATATAAACAGAAAATAACTGTTTGAATGCAATCCTTTCAGCTCGGTAGCCAGAACGTCTTACGGAGATAAACGGAAGATAAGACCGTTATCGTTACTGCAGTTTTCACGAAATTTGAAAGCAAAAGCTGAAGAACACGACCAATGCGCGAGGTAAGTGCTTCTGAACGCTGCAGTACCTCATTTCATCTAAAACATATTGCAGAAAAGCACAGCTGGGTTCTGAAGATCCCTGCGCTTTAGCAAATTCGAGTGGTAGAAAACACGACGCAAATAGCAGCAGAATTCCATCTGCATAGCGGTTTTTCATTCCTGGCTCGCTAGATTTGAACTGATATGGTTTTCTTATGATCGTGTCCTGTGCCGAAATGATGGAAAACGATTTTTCAACATAAATATGGTAAAAACTTCTGTTGATCATATGATAAAGAGAATTGTTGTACGGAAAAGTGGTGGTGTCGTTGATTGCTGCTGTAATAAAGAACGATATTCAGTGGTTGAACTCAGCGGTTTGAAAATGCGCAGTGAGCGTTTTTATACTCGAGCTAACAATAATGAAATATTCAGCATGTTGCTAACATTGCTTTGGAAACTTCGGACGGCAGAAAGATCTTTCCATAGATTAATTTTTCTATCGCCCCAAAAATTGGATTTCCGCCTAAACCCAAGAACTTCTACTAGTACAGTCACACAGTAAGTATATAGTCTCGAGAATAAATTCTTTATATCACTCACTTCAAGTCAAGTCATGAAGTGGACACATGACTTGTTTTTACTCGAAAATAATAAAGTAATCAAAATTTTTTAGAAACGAAGATTTGTAAAGTAATTATTTCTAAAGGCTTTGCCGTCACTCCTCATTTTTTTCAAAATTTCAAGATGATAGTTCCCAGAGCAGAGTTTACCGAAAAGGAACAAAGGTCATTCATTCTAAACAGAAAATGACCCTTGGAGCAAGTCACCTTTGAGTAACATCGCTTCAAACTTGTTGGTTAGCATCTTTTTCTCAAAAACAGTATTATACAGTCCTTTAAAAAGGACTCGAAAACACCAATATGCTTCGCTGATGACGAATTACTATTTAAGAAACGTTCCTGCTTCAGTCATAGAATGTGACTAGAGCTCATTATTTCAGCAATAGTGCGTATTAGTCTGAGAGATTTGTAAATTGTAAGAATTGTAAATTGTAATTAACTCCCTTTTGAGATGCATTGAGATAGTTGAGATGCACACCGGCAAGTGTTAGAAATCACTTACAACACCCAGAAGTTTATAATCATGAAGAAAAATTTTTTCACATTAATTTGATGCACTAACTTCTTGAGCCTTCTCCAACTCAGGATATTCAGATTATCGAGAATCTCTTCGAGACTCCGCTGCAGGTTTTGATCGAGTCTGGCGCAGTTCCGATGAACACATTTGCAGTACCATTGAGATTTCTCTCGTTTGAAAATATAGAGAGCGCATCTTCATTTGCAATCGTTTTCGATGCAAATAATTCATTTTTAATCTTGGCTCATAATAGTAAGTCAATTTACAGACGGTAACAAACGAAATACTATGTTTATATTATAAACCAAACCATATTCACCTTGCTATAACGCTTATTAGTCTTTGCTAGACTTACAAGGCCAAAGATAAAGTGAACTTTCAACTATTTAGAGTATCGAAAATCAACCAAATTCTAGTACTAGACATCAGTGCATTCTTAGGCTGCTGTTTACATTGTTGCTAATTGTGCAGCTTTCAAAACAATTTTTCAAAACATGAACATAAGTCGCCAATTTCGTTTTCCACTCAGACTATTCCTTGCCGTTTTCTCTCATCAGATGGATTCATTAGGACCAAAGGGCTTAGTTAGCCTACATTATTTGGTTCAAATAGTATTCTAGTGTTATCATCTGAGACCAGTCTCAATTTGTATATCGTTAATTGCTTTCTAATACCGTCAAAAGGAGAGAAAGTCAGCAATGGAGTAATGCCAGCAACTGTTTACTTTCGTGGTAAAAATCTGGTTCAAATCAAACAAAAATGATTTTTTCAAGTCGACCAGTAAATCTTCTCGCTTTGACCGCGCTGGAACAGAGACAATTATAACACTTTATAGCTACATGTGGTCGACGTAACTGTTGCAACTTTTCTTGAAGAGCCAGTTAGAGTGGCTTACAACAAATAAAGTGATAAACTTCCCTTCCGTTATATTGCCACATATTTTAGATGTTTAGTCTACATCAGGAATTCTACAGACTAGTTAGTTGAATTCCTTCAAACCTCCTTCTCCTCTTCGCCTAGTTACAGCCCTCCAAATTTTGTATGGCGGCGGGAATCCTGCTCCAGTGGCATTGGTGCGGAACGGACATAGAATGCCGCCAACCAGGAGAATAGAACGTCGTCAGCTTTTTTCATCGTCTACTTGATTTTTTGATTTTCACCGTCTATTTACTGTATTCCTCTTCGTTATTCTTGAATGTTCTGTTTGAGAAAACACCTCGTGCCAAGCCCTGCTCCGAAACCATTGATGAAAAGCACTGAAATTTTTACTAGCGGTCACGCACTTCATTTGTTCAATGGTTTTGTCTCATCAATCTTTGCATTATGTGGAAGTTTCGCAGAACACCAACAAAAGCGATCTCACTGCTCATCTCGCACAGTTGCACTAAAACCATCACCTTTTTGGATAAATGGCGCAGATGGCGTAAGTTGAGTGAAACTGTGTCGGCGATTCGAAGAACGTCTAGCATTTTTGTGATGGCTGTGGACGAAAATTATCGAACTTCTTTTAGCTAGTTTGATTTGCAAGTTGAAAATTCTTTGCAGACCTTAGTCTCTGCAGCACATGTGTAATAAAGAAGTTTCAGACACCTAAAAATTTTGATTTTTAAGTTCAAGACAAATGTTTCCGGGAGACTCTTTGTGATAGTTTTTGCAAACCTTCCTTCTTTTTGCATGTGGGGCTCTCATTTTTGTGATATAAACACAAGACTGCAGAATCCGTGAAGTTTTTGAAAACACAGTAAAAAATCCCTTTTTAGAACTTTTTAACAAGTCGTTGTACAACCCCAGTCTAAAATCTGAAACAGAATTATGGGCAGCGTGTTGCTATTAAGCTAGTGAGCTCAGTAAAAAAGTGGATTTCTGGATAAATCAAGATTGATACTCTCGTGATGTTCAAGCCGAGTGCATCAAATTTGGAAGGGCATTCAGCAGTAAATGAGCAGCAAAACCTCAAATGCTGAGGCGTCGCATCGCATAGTGGGGGGGGGGGGGGAGGGTATGACAGTTAAACATGAGCCTTCTTGTTGAGAGGAAAAATCGTTCCCAACGAGGAGAGGCTCGTTCATGCTCACCGAGTCATTTTTGATCAGCATTTCGATCAATCTCAAACCAAGTCTCAGCGAAATCTGAAGTAAATTTGATTTTCGCTTTTATCGCGAACAATCGGCAAGAAATGACTGCATTTGTGCTTACATCATAATAACAAAGAATGAACACAGTCAAGGGCACAGAAGTTTAAGAAAGAATTGAATTATCTATGTGCCCAATATAATTATAAATATTAGGTTGGTCCGAAAGTTCTTGCGCATCATTTTCATAACATCATCACTTCCCTGCCACTCAATGGATTTCGACAAAATTATATCCATTCGAACAACTGAATTCATGCTCTTTACAACTGTTTCTCCCGCATGAATTGCTTTGAGCAACTTCGAGAGTCACAAGCAATCGAAGGAAATCAGTCAAGATCGGCATTTTTCGAGCTGGATCACGAAAAATTCTGTAAGTATTTCTATATGATAGAGAAAATTATGCTTATTGCAATGGTACCTTTCCCATGCGCTAAAACGAAAAAGATCGAGAGTTAGGAGCAAATAAAGAGAATTTTTTCAGTTTTGCAATGAGCACGCTCAAAAAAGCCTAAAAACGTCACAGAAAAGGCGTAAAAGTCATGAACATGGGTTTTTCGATCTCCTCTTTTTAGACGAGTGAAGATCGCGCCAATCGAGAACAGTTTTGTTTTTCGTGATTTTGTCGGATTGCGCCTGCGTTTTTCACGAAAATCAAAATTGCTCTCGATTAGCACGATTTTTACTCAACTAGAAAGAGAAGGTCACAAAACCCATGTTCATGGCTTTTCCGCATTTTCTGTGACATTTCCAGGCTTTTTTAAACATGCTCAAAAATTGCAAAACCAAAGGAATTCTCTTTATTTGCTCCTAACTCTCGATCTTTTTCGTCTTAGTTCATGGGAAAGATACCATTGTAATGAGCATAATTTTCTCTATCATAAAAAAATACTTCCAGAATTTTTTGTGACCCAGCTTGAAAAATGTCAACTTTGACAGATTTCCTTCAGTTGCTTGTAATTCTCGAAGTTTCCAATATCAGTTCATGGCAAAGGCAATGATGTAAAGAGAATGGATTCCCTTTTCGAAGGTATATAATTTTAACGAAATCCATCGAGTGGCAAGGAAGTTATGATTTTTTGAAAATGATGCGCAAGAACTTTCGGACCAATCTAATACAAAGGGGTAGACATGTTCAAATAAAACCAGAGTAAAAAGTGAGGAAAAGCCGATTTGTTAGAGGAATAAATCTGTGCAGCTTCAACGATGGAAAAGTATGAGCCGAGAGTATACGTGTATGTCGATTTCTATGTGATTTCTGTCGCTGTAACTAATTCAACAAATTTTATAATGTCAACTGGTGATTTACACCGCAAGAGATAGAGTTCAAGAGCATACATTATTTCTGAAACTTATGCGAACGAAAGGCGCAACCAAATTGTTCCTAGTTTGGTATCAATGACAGCGGTCTCATCGTTGCAAGAAACGTTCCGGGTTTAGCTCATCCGAACCGGAGCGGACAGCGATAATTTTCGATAAATTATTCAACTTTTCCTCATTTCCGCCCACTCGTAGTTTGTTGCAAGTCATAAGTTAAGAAAACATATCACTTTGATCGACCATTTCCTAGATTTCGTCACAGACCTGTAGTAGGCTTCATTGAGCGTGTTAATTGTACATACTAGGTGTCCCGAAAAACGTGTCGACAACGCATTTAAAAATGTTTTCGCAACAGTTATCAAAAATCTGAGTAAACCATCTGAACTGCTTTACAAACATCCGGAAAGCTATCTACTATAAACGGATGTAAAAACACCATAGTTGTATCTTCAACGTTGGTATCTTTTCTATTTTTGAATTATCTGCTGTTTTGTACAGACGACATTATGCCTCAAATTCTATTTACAGTAATGAAGAGCAGTGGGTGATTCGTTTTGTACTGCAAATCAAGTTGAGGCCAGTCCTACAACACTTCCAAATGTCCGCCAAAGCAGACGAAAGTTATGCGATTAGACGTTTGACACTCCGATCTCTTTTCGCTACTGTATGATTA